GATTCACTTGAAATCCTGAGCACCCAAACACTGATTTACCTGTAGGAGGCCGTTTTTATGCTTTGTTTGGCTTTAGTTAGTCAGCACAGAACTGTGGATCTAGTGACTATACGGCCGAGGGGCTTTCTGAAACCTGTGAGTTGACTCGGAGAAAAGCATCAACCAGACGGCAGATGGAGGATGGGGAATCTCTGCCAGCCCTTCGTTTGGTGCCCCGACCACAACTAAAACCTGCCCCTTATGTACTGACCTGGAAAGACCTGGAACTGAGTTGGTGTTCGCTTGAAAACTGCACAGAAACTGTGCGGACCGAATCCAAGAAAACTAAAAAAATGTTTTTAAAAAACAGATTATTAAGATAATAACGGTCCCACGCAGCAATAAGCTAGAGCTCCACAGAGTGAGACGGCCACAAAGAGCTTCATTAAAAGTGATGACAGCTCCAAACTCTGCCGGCACGCTCACCAATTAGGAGCACGACGACTGAGGGATGGAATTAATGCCGTCTGCTGATAAAAGCTCGCTGTTCTGTTTTGGACAGAGTTCTCCACGGGAAGACAACGCAGAGTCGCTGGGCCCAGAAGATCCTAGCTTTGAACCCCCCCCCCCCGATGTGACTCACTGTCACTGTGACTCAAAAATCCCCAAGACCTGTTGCTGCAGCACTGTTGCTGCAGTAACCATGGAAACGCATGTTCTCCCAGCGTGCGTCTCAAGCCACTGATTTTATACCTGAGCCTGGGTTTATCCGGGGGATAAACGAGGCAAGCCATCGGGGAAAATCTATTTAGCTTAGGAGATATGTAGAGAACTTATCTAAACGTCACTATATGTAATTAATCGGGAAATAGGGGCTACCGAAAGGTTAAATGAAGGCTGTTTCTCCATTTAAGTGTGTGTTCTTATCTACTTCTGAAACGTCATCATGTAAGGACCAAGTACTGTTCAATGTCAAAGAATTTGGACATTAACTAGGTACATTTTTTAGGTTTACGGTTCAAATTAAAAGAATACAAAGAATTTGGACATTAACACTAACTACGTTTTTAGCTAAAAGTTTCTTTGTTTTTCCATCTTTGACACATGCTTCTTTTCCAAATGCACAGCGAGTGTACTTGCGTCCTTGCTATCTATGACAAGTCCATAGTAGTGAGTATATTTTAAGCATGGTATTGACATACAGCCTAAGTTGTAAGCTTGTTCTGAAAACTTTATATACTGGTATACGTAAAAATAAACTGTCCTCTATCTTGAAATGTTCAAATTCACTTCCTTTCTGAAATCTTAAAGTATAAGGGTAAAAAAACGTCATTAGTCAGCAGTCAGAGAAGAGGTTAGATTAGCCAGCACCTCCAGTTTGCAGGTTAGCCGTTTCTATTACACAAAGACAACCAGAAACAAAACAAAGAAAGATTTATCAATGATAAATCCCAGATAGAAGCCAGCCTACTGTGACTACTAGGTTCCTTGACTCTGATATAGGTGCTAATCTTGGTTGTGGTGGTTTCCAGTGTTACTCACCATTTCCAAGGCAATCAAGCTAAAGTTTCCAAAGAAAAATTCAAATTAAATTTGCTAAATTTCCTAACACACTATCATGCCTAGTAAGGCCAATTTTACTGTGAACTTTGCTTGAGGTTATCATCCCATCAGAATCTTGTACCCTCCAGAGCAAAAATAAGCTTTTTTGTTTTTGTTTTTTTTTAAGAAAAAAAGTCTGGATCCGTCTTATTTTGGCTGTAACGACAGTACGAGGTGTTGCTCTGCAAACGGAGCACAACAAGAGTGCAACTGGCTCATTATGATCAGAACAATGGAGCCATTTATGGCTAAAAAATAAATAAATAAAGCCACAATGCTGAAGAAGTCAGCCGGTGCCAGCCATGCAGTTTCAGGCACACGGGTCCAGATTCATGACCCCAAACCCTTCTGAGAGTACAGCCGCCGAGCCACCTGATGGAGGGATTGTGAGGAAGAACGCACCATTAGACACTTCTGACTCAGGGAACAGCGGAGTGGTTTCTTTTTGACCACTGGTCCCACTCCCACGCCTCTCACCGACCTGCAGACCCACTTAGACGCACCGTTTTAGAACAGACCAGCTTCAATAAGAGCACCACATCCTCATTCTAGGGAGAATCTTGACCAACAAGATGACCTCGTCATCTTTGACTATGACTGTCCCACTTTAAACATCCGCTGTTTGACCAGACGTTCTTATTTTCGAGTTAAGTCACAGCAGCCGAGCACCAACCAACGGGAGCTTTAGATATGGATGAAGAGCAGGTAATTAGGAAGGCTGAGTCCATCTGGGATAATTACACACATCCCCTTACATAGCGAATTCCAGTTTCTAACCTCTGGTTCCCGTTTTAAATATCCAACAGCTCGAACCAATAGATACAAACACACCTTTATTCCACTAGGAAAAGCAGATAGTCATACGTTGCATGCATATGCACAGCATATATTTACTTATTTATCCACCTTTTATCTTTTGAAAATATTTTATGCGTTTCTTGTGTTTTTATGTGTGAAGTGTGAACGTGTGTGTGAAAAGTGTACTACTACTGCACAAAAATGCCCCATACTGGGACAAATAAAAGCTACTGAACTGAACTAATCGGTGTTGTTTTCCCCGATTATTCTCCAACGGTTCAGTTTCAGGGCAGAAACACAAGCGGCAGCCGGCGAACAGAGAACTAGAGGTCAGGTCTGAACCCACAACGCCACGAGAGGCCACATCTGCAGACCTGGAGTTGAACCGGTGCTCAATAAGGCGAATGAGGCGGTGAAGTCACGGCACAGATCAGATAAGTTTACTGTTTTGTGTTGATCTCCAATCTCCAGACAGCTCAACTGATCGCAAAGTAAGCTAAATGCTTCATGTCTTCCTCTGTAGCTGGGCTGTAACTCATCCGTCTCTTTTTAAAATCACACATGAACTTTGGACGGGCCCAAACAACCCGGAGCGAATGACTCGGTGGCTGCTTTGTTAAGAAGCTTAAAGTATCTCAGGACCGGGCACAAGATGAACTGGCTGACGAGTGCATTGTCTGCGGCCGTGCCGGCATTCTTTTGGATTACTGAGATGAAGAGATCCCAGTCCGCCTCGACTCCAGCCCCTCAGCGGGAGCCGGGTCAGAACTCAAAGACTGAGACCGCAGACACCAGTGGCCAGAAGCAGTTTCCTCACATCAATGGCCGGACCTTAGAAATACAAGGTGCTTATCAATGCAAAAAAAGGAACCAGTTATGGTGCTTTAGCATCTAACTGAGATGCTATCTTTTGGAGGCGCGTCCAATAAATAAACTTTTCAGTCTGCTGTCTCAGAAGGGGTGCCAAGTTCACGTTTTGCCATAAGACGTCACATGTTTGGACTCTTATTTATCACAACGAATGAACAATGTTGCTGAAAACAGCACTCGAACACACCACATGGGCCTTATCTTGAATTTCCCCTTGGGGATCAATAAAGTATCTATCTATCTATCTATCTATCTATCTATCTATCTATCTATCTAT